AATTATGAACACTTAAAACATTATGTAAGTTACTGAATGTATGACCAGGACATCAGGAGAGAGCTTTAAGCCAGCTCTCACATGAGTGTATTAGCCTGTGAGCCTGGTTTGCAACAGAAGCATAGTCAGTGCTGACAGCATTGCCACACTGGCATCTTAGCCCTCAAGATGTGACTTCATTGCCAACAGTACCCAGAGATGGAAAACTCCCATGAACACATCTGTATTTCATACTTATGAAAAGACCTCCTAGTTTTTACTTCATAAGGCTTTCTCTAGCCTTAGGTAAATGACCTAATTTCTTTCTTAATGAGAGTAGGTGTATCTTTGAATCCCACCTGCTGATGCTGCAGCTTGGTAGGGAAGGAGGTTTGCTGGGTAGAATGGCTATTCTACCATCTAACCAATGATGCTACTGAAGTGTTGATGGACACTGCTCGCTCATGACTATACTCAGAGCAACAGTAAAACCTCCAGAGTCCAAGAAGAATGTAAAGTGTGGATCTCCATCTGCGCTTACCTGGATAACTTGTGTGGTACCCCAGTTTAATCTAATAAGTCCACCCAAGGCCTCCAGACTATGGGTAATTGCCCCCAAATTAGCTCATCTGTGCTTGCAAATGAACCACATCCACTTCTTCAGCTTCACCAATTCCAGCAGCACGAGTAAATGCCAGTAACCTAAAAGGTACAGCACAGCATGATAACTTCTTTATTAAGTATGTGAGAAAACAGTGACTCCAAGCTCCACTACAGTCCAAATACCTTTAACATAAAAATATGCTCAGACCATCACAGATGACAAAAGCCACACCAGGGACTAGTTTAGGTGAGGGCATAGACTGAAAAGGCTTGAATTTTCTTAAGGTAATGATCAATCAGTTCTCCAGCAAAGACAAGAACACTGAAGGTCTGTTTATTGTTTCCTTTGTCTGCTACAGCCTCGTAAAGCCTTCAAACTGTAGGTTTTGGCATGCCTGTGTCAACAAAAATTCCACAAGAAGACACAAAGTAAGAAACAGTCCTTGTGCCCTTCCCTTTTATTAGTCCTGTGCCTCACCCACTTGGCTATTCACACATGCAGCAGGGAGACCAAGGAAGCCCATCTCAGCTTCCTCTTGCATTATCTTTTGTAATGGCAAATTGCAGTGCCCCTTAGCTACAGTAAATTATGTCAGTTTTTCTTTCCAAGACAGGCACATTTAAAATTGAAGTAAAAAATATGGGATAGTCTAAGCCAGGCCCAAATGTAAAGTAGAAAAAGCAACAAAACTTTATTTTTGCTGTAGCTTCATGCTGATGTCCTTCTAGGGACTTTAATTACTGGACATTTTGCACTATTATGAGAACAGAATGTATCTCCCAAGGACAGGTTTTGTTGCAGAAAACTGGTTTTACTCCTGGAATCTGGTCTATAAAGCCCTCCCCTTGATATATTTACATGGCTATAGGCAAGTCAGAACAATTTTCTGAGGAGCGAATTACAGCCAGCAGAAACACAGCCCCAGGCCCATGCTGAAGTGGGTAGGATTTGAAAATTTCTGCAGCAGTTAGTTGTTAGGCACATAAAAACACCCCACCCTCCTGCCTCAGGCGAGAGAGAATACGCAGACAGTGCAGAGTGTACTTCATGCGTCAGGATACATCATTTGGCTTTCAACAAGATCAACAGATTTCAGAGAAATGAGAGAAGGTAACACAGTTCCTTCTCTTCTTAGGTGTGTGCCTTAAGACAGTATGTTAACTAACATCTCAGTTACTCACAGGCAATGTTCAGAGAGAAAAGTCCCGGCTGTGGTGCCCAGCAAGCTGTTATATGGAAGTTCTCTGATGCTCCTGGCACTCTGGAAGAACTTAGAAAGGTCAGACTGGAGTCTCTGAACACAAAGCCAGTATCCTTTACTATTACTTTCCATTTTGGCTTTGTTACTGCAGATGATGTCTATAGGGGAATATAAGATGTTCTTGTCCTGTCAGTGCTGATGTGTGAGCCCTAGTGCTTGTCTGGTAATATAAAATTAATGAAACAGACAATACATAGAGAATGTCTTTCAATTGTGCAGATAAACTTGTATCAACTGAATAAAAAATATCCAATCACTGCAATGTCATCACAGAAACACCAAAGAACATAAAACAAGGAAGCACATTTTCCGTCTAGTTCCTTGGGAGAAAAAAGTTTCTCTGAAGGGCGGCAGTATGTTCAGCAGATAGAGCTCAGTAATTTTATTACCCTGTGCACAATTTCCTGTGTATTTTTTTCTTATGTTTTGTTTACCCCAAACTATTCTGATCACAAAAGAGTTTAAAAAAATAAATAAATCAAACAATAGCATCATAGTGCTTAATAAAGACTGTTTTGCAGGGAACCTTCTACCTGCCTGTACACACTAGTAAACTTAACTGAACAGTATGAGAAACACTCTCCATGTGCCATAAGCACGCCAGGATCAATAACACACAGATAAGCTCTTTTCCCCAAGGGAAACAGATGTGCACTGTTTGAGAGGAAGGTGTTTGTCTGTCTCCTGTCTGACATCACCAAGTTGCAGATAACATAATACCCATCAGTACTGGGTTTCTGCAATAAAAGTTCTGGGTAGTCACTGGAGAGTCACTGATGACGCTCTAGTTCCCAGCTCCATCAGGGCCCTTCTTCCAGGTCTTGGACAAGTCATGTTTTTGCAGTAGTACATGGAAACACCAAGTAAACCCATAGGCGAATGTGGTAAAAACAGCTAAACATTTCATACCAACCTGAAACAGGATCTCCTCCTAGAGTGATTAGCCATCAGTGAATACTGATGATAGCATTTCCTTTTCTCTACAGTATGTGTAGTACATAAAACTCATAAACCCAGTGCGTGGACCTGTCTTTCTGTATTCACAATCTCAAGTAAACTGTAATCCTTACTTGGGGTGGGGCACATGGGTGTTGCTCAAGTAAAGTAGCAATGATAATGCACAGGATCATTTTTTCATGTGTTATGTTCCTGTAAAACCATACTGGAATCTCTGCTGGCAAATGGTCTAAAATCTCAAACTTTCTGTTGTTCTTGTGCAACTCAATTGTTAAACATGTCAGCACAACAGAGCATGAGTAATTTAAAGCAGGGACCATCCTTCAGACAGAATGGATTATGTTGCAAACTTGGAGACATGCCATCTGAAAGCTCCAGAGTATCTGAGGTCCAACCCATTGATACCTTTGCAGCAGCAAGTCTGTAGCACTTTTACTGTTGTGCTCAGGAGTCCATTTTTGACATTAAAAAACGAACAAAAAACCAAAATCAAACCCAAACAAAAACCTCACCAAAACCAAACTTATGACATTAAGTCAGCTGCAGGTATTAAAAATAAAGGCAGGTTTGCTGGTTTAAAAAATGCCTCCAAACTGCCTAAACAGTTGAGATATTGAGGTTTTTCACTAGATGATTATAAAAGATCACACAACTTAGTCACATAATCTAATTTGCCTCATTTGCCACTGGGAATAGTCTAAATCACTTTCACCCAGTCAACTCCTATACAAGGAGAAATCTAAAGGCCCCAGGTTCTCAGATTTCCCAAAGTGACTTGTTCTAGATGGGCTTTGAATGCTTTGATACTTTTTATTGTATGAGAGAAAAAAAGGTTGCTATCATCCCTGTGAAATTCTATTTGAAGTGAGTGAATCTGTGTATACTTGTGTTGAAAAGCACAGTAACGGCTAACATATGATCACATCTACCCTCAGGGCTTACTCGCCTCTCAGTGCAAGAGTGTATCTTGCTCAGTACAGATGGAGTTACATGAGGTGAAGAGACAAATGAACATCCTCATCCATGGCTGTGAGGAAGAATAAGGCAGGAAATCAATGCATTTGTGCTGCAGAAATTAAGGGCACAATCTAGCAAAAGCACATGGGTGCATATACTCCACATGCAACACTCGGCACAGCTGTGCAAGGCCTCAATGCACAGCATGGAACAGTTCGCCTGTGGGCAGCGCTGAAGGAAGCACAGATCCATCATCCCTGTGGGCTGGGAGGTATTGCTGTTACACTTCTGCAGCTCACTTGCTCAGTCCTGACAGTTACAATTTGAAAAACACTTTGTGCAAATCAGTTTTGAGAAATGTCAAGTCCATGTGGAGAAACCAGGTCTGCAGCTTGGAAGGAAAGTTTGCTGATAAAGATATGAAAATCGCATTTGCTTCAGCAGTGTCTTTGAGAGCCAGGGCACTCTAATCCTTCTCTGAAGTGCATGACTGCAACTACAGCGGGGGCTGCTCCTGGTCACTATCACAATACACTTGCCTGGCTGTCCAGTCAAGTTTCTTCACTTCCTTCTCCTTCCCTCACAACCACGACAGTGCCATTCAGATCACATTGGTGCGTTCCCCAGGTACAGGCTCATCGTCATCCCCCTTCTGTGAGCAGACAGTGCCTGAGGTAGAAGTGATGGATGGCCTGGGAAGTTGAACTTTCTTTGTGCCAAAAGGCTGGGCCTGCCCTGCCCTCATAGTGGGGGACGCTCCATGCCCAAGCTGACTCCCAGGCACAGGGACACTTACAGCAAGATGGCACAAGGCCTTCAGCAAGCTCCTAGAGACACAGCGCAGCCTGCCATGACGGCTGCAACGTGTGTACGAGGTGCACCGGGGCCCCAGAAGCCCTACTCTGTCGTCACCTCTGCCGCAGCAACGCCCACCCCCACGTTTCCCGCCCGACCCCCTGCGCCCGCCCGCGCAGCACCGTTACCACGCCCACCGTCTTCTCTTGAGCGCAGGCGCAACGCGCTATGGCGGGGGTGCGCATGTGCACTGCCCTGGCCCCGCCCCTTTCCCGGAAGCGGGAGATTGAAGCGCCGCGGCGGGTGAGGGCTTGTCCCGCCCGGCTGCTCTCTGCTCCCTTCAGCGCGGTGCTGCCGGCGTGGGAGAGGGAGGAAGCGGGTCTCTCGGGGCTGTCCCTTCGGCTCTTATCCTGCATCTTGGCTCAGCTGGTTCTTGGCGGCTCAGTTCGGGCCTCCCGTTGCTCCACGGCATGTGGCTGGGGCTGCGGTTGTGTTGCTGTGCTCGGTTTCTGGGGTGCCTCTTGACCTTCCATGGTGCCTCACCTCAGAAAGAGCTCCTCGGGTTTGTGGCTGTGCTTATGGGCTGCCTTATGGCAGCCGCCTTTCTGCTTCCCTGCAGGGTGGAGAGCTGGCTGGAAAAAAGTTGTTGAGTGGTAACAGAGCCTTTGGTTGGTGAGAGGAGGGTTTAGAAAGAGCGAGTGTTGTTACATAGTGTAGCTATAAACAGGAAAACTAAGACGTGTAGCATCAGGGACTTAACCCAAAGCAAAAAATCGAATTAGTACTGAAGTGCAAAATTGTCCTTTTCCACCTTCTAGCCCGAGTTTTCCTTACTTACTGGACAAAAATATTTTTCTGTGTGATAAATAACATCGCAGCTTGAAAATGTAGAGGATACTTGGGCTGAGATACTGGGGAAGGGTTTTAAGAGTGCAGGAGATCTGTATGATCTGGTATAGTGGAGGCGTGTCTGCCTGTGGCAGGGGGGGTTGGAACAAAATGATCTTTAAGGTTCTTCCCTACCAAACCTTTCTGTGATTCTAAGAATGTGCTTTGGAACAGAGTTCAAGTAACAGTATTAGTAAAGCACTGGAAAAAATATTCATTGTAGTCATGGTTATTTGAAGACAAATAATCACATTGGAAGAGTCACAGGACAGCAGGACAGGATTCTGTTGAAGCTCTTAGGTTTCAAATGATTTTGCTGCTGGGGAAGACTGATTACATATTTATGACCTGCTGTATATACAGAGGCATGAGGTAGCTTCTTCTAGGCTCTTGCTTACAGTAAGAAATAAAAGCCTGCATTGTATTTAAGCCTGCATTGTATTTAATGGGTGCTGTGGGCTTCCTGTTTAATTGGTAGGTTGCTAAAATACCCAGTTAACTGGATTTTGTTTACTAAAGTTTGGGAGGTTTTAAATCAAATACCGTATGTTGAGTTGTGAACAACTGGAGGAATGTTGACTTGTAAGATAATTGAGGACCCGTTTCCTTTGGTATAGAATGAGGAAGATCAGGTCATTTTTAAAAGGCTTCTGTTTTGAAACTTCTAATTGCAATGTGCAGCTAAAGGGAGGTGTAGCTGACAATTTTCCAGCTGCATTTTGGTCATTATCAGGTCGTTCACAAGTGCTAAAGTAAGATAAACACTACCAAAGTAATTTGAAGTTGGTATATGCTGGGAGACAGGACTTGTCATTTTAATTGAGATTCTTTTCTGAGCAGACTGGGGATGCAACTTTCGATTTAAAATTCTACTTGTGTAATTTCCTTTTTAAGCAGCATCCCCAGAAGGCTCAAATGAGAGAGTGGATTATTTTTGGACTTTCAGACCCAATTATTTTCTTTTCTAGAAAAGATTGTTTGTACATCAGGACAATACAAATCTTGTGGTTCCAACGATCCTTCTGTCACTACTTGGGATACAGTTAAAATTAAAGGACTGGTTCTTCACACCTGGTTTAGTAATTATTATTCCTTTGAGTTAGACAAGCATTAAAGGTCAGCCAGGTTAAGACAATACAGTTTGTTTGGAGTGAGCTTTTTTGATGAGTTCAGTGTTGCAGGATCTGATCCATGCAATGTCTGATTTATACAGACTGTAATGGGTTTGTTGCATAAGTTGTCTTGCTCCTTTTTAGCACTTGAAAGTATATCAGGTAGGAAAAAAAGATATTGTGGAGAGTAACTGTAAGACTTTATATTTTTCATTTTTTAAAGAAAAAATCCAGAGTTTTAGGACTGAGGGGAAAATAATCTACAAAATTCATAGTACGGTGCTTTATACCAGTGAGTAGTGTTGGTCATCCCTCTTGAAGCCACTCGCAAAGCAAGATGTCTTTTTTGAACTTGTCAATTAGAAAATAAGCTTTAGTATTTCTTATTAGGGCTTTTTCCTTGTTTCTGCAGCCACATGGCTCATTATAATCTGGTGAAAATAGCACCATACATAATTTATTCTGTCTTTTAACAGAAATTGCTATCCGTTGTGAGATGGAAGAACCAGTGCTTGATAAACTGCCATCTTTGTGCCATACTCCAAAGGATTCTGGGACAGCAGCTCCACAGGCGACTAGTTCAGGGAAACGGGTATGAAAACTTACTTGGTTTCCCAATAACGTGACTCTTTGTAGTAACAAAAATATTTGTGAAATCATTAAGTAGTCAGAAGTCACTGAGATACTGTTTGCTGGAAGGCTAAAGATAGGCAGCTTATACACATAGCTACAAGGTTGTGCAGGTAAGGAATGTGCTCAGTGTACTTTGTTCTGAATATGCAGATGTTTGCTGTGAAGACAAAGGGATGGAGCTGTATAACCCAAATGCCATACTAATAAATGTAAATAGTATTTAGGGCTTGTGGTGGAGTTTGTTATGTTTGTTTTTTCTTTAATCTGCCATCTTCAGTTTTCCCAAATCCTGATTTTCTAGGTTGCTGTGTATGCAGGCTGACCTTCTGCTTACACTTGAACAAAATACACTGCTTTCAGTTCATATAGCTCCATACTGCTGAGCTCTGCTTTGGTGTTCATCCTAGCATGTGTTATGGTGATGTCGTCACACTCAGCACCCGGACCTATACAGGATAGGGCTAGTTTGCAAGTGTTCCTTAACTAATCCTTCTCCCCCATATTGTAGTATATTTTCACAAGTGAAAATACTAGGCACATGTTATGAAAATTAACTCTCACTTTGAAGAAAAAAATCACTCTTTAGATTCTTATCAGTGAAGGATCTCAAAGTATGAATAAGTCAAAATCAGATAGTTTCTAATACTATCAAGCAGAATACAGATGTTTTATATGGGTGCTTATGTGTGTCGTGCGATGGAACAGCAAAAAACCCTAACCCTCATCTCCATTAAACTAGAGGAGGGAATTGAACTTGATGGAATAATATTAGCCATGTTGAAATATGCCATACACTTTCTGCATAAAGACTAGATGAGTAGGTTTGCCTCAGCAGAATACAGGCTTCCACAAAATGTGGAAGTAAATCTTTCCATATCTTGCAGCTGTATGTGCAAATATGTACGAAAGGAGGATGTTCAAATTTGTGAAAATTATGGAGAAAATTAGGAATTCCAGCTTTACAACCATCTTTGCATATATGCTATAGTCTATGTAGATAGTAACCAGGATAAACAGTTCTTTGAAATCCGATCAAAAATTAGGTATTCTGATCCATCTCTTCCTTTGGGTTTAATATTTTCTAGCCAATGAGTGCAGCTCTGAGGGAGCGATTGAGGAAAACAAGACGTTCATTTAATGCTAATATTGCAGTAGCAAAGCGGCTCAAAATAAACACTGAAGAAAAAGACTGTCCTGATGCTGACAAAGGGTGTCTGCCAAAGACGAGTACGGATTGTTCCACATTACAAGATGGTTCGGAAAACCTGGAAGGAAATGGCACTGGACATATATGTGTCAAAAGTCCCTTACAGGAGAGTGGTCTCTGTGGATCTGCAGAGAATTCTTATGTGCTACAAACTGATCTTAGTCAGCAGCAGTCCCTGGAAGAAAAAGTAAGGCTGCTGAAACAAGTGCAAGAGAAAGAAGAACTACTTCGGAGGCTCAAACTGGTTAAGATGTATCGATCTAAGGTGAGGCAAACCTCTGAAAAAGCACTGTTAGGTCATTCTTTGAAGTGGAATTGATAGTGTAATCATCACTTATTAATTTAAGCCACAATACTCGCTCTTATGTGGTGTTTGTGTAGTGTCTGTTTAAGGTGTTTTACAAAAATAGATCTGCAGGGTATCAAAAAAACTCCACATTTCAGCAAATGATAACATTTTTTTTTTGTTTCTTTTGTCCCAATTTCAGAACAACCTGTCTGAACTGCAGGCTCTGATAGTGAAATGGAGAAGTAGTACCCAGCTGATGCTGTATGAACTCCAGTCCGCCTTTTCTGCAGATGGCAAGAAAGTGAATCTCACTCAACTGATAGATACTTTTGGATTAGAAGACCAATTACTGCATTACAGCAGGACAGAAGAAGATTTTGTAGATCCATAATCTACAGGTGTAAAAAGCTTTGAATTACACACATGCAAAAGCAGAAAAGACTGAATTCTGATCATGTAAGAAGTGTTGATCAGACAGTGGACTTTATGCTTTGAGGTTATGATACTTGTAAAGCTGTGTACTTAAATACAGTAGGCACTGTAAAAGGCATTACCTAAGAGAAAACACTGAACTTGTGCTGTTCTGGCTTAGCAACTTGATTAGTGAATCATTATTTAATAAAAATCAAATGAAATCAAGCCATACTTTAACAGGTAGAAGGCAGCCCATTCTTTGATTAGTCTTTGCAAGGTTACCTGTATTGATATAGTACCTCACTTTGTCACTTCTGTTGATGTTCTGATGGGAAAGAGTTCATAGATATGTCCCCATTTTACACATCTTCCTGTTGCCCTTCAGTTACTGACAGCATTTTGCAAGTTAACTAATTTTCATGTTGTTAATATTCTGAAGCCACAATGAGATGTTCTCAATAGCTTTAATTGTTCATGAAGGAAATGTGCCATAATGCAGTCACTTTCAGGTACTGGTCCAGCCAGTTGTCTTCAGGGAAGCTGAAGTATTCTCCCACAGCCTGAGATAATGGAAGGGAAGGCAAGAAAATTGTAACCAACCCCTGTCTCTTCTACTATTTCATGTGAGAGCCAGGTATTTTCTCTCTTCAAACAAACAAGAAAAACAAGGGCTTGTCTAAAGGGAGTGATTCCAATACAGCATCATAAAACTGAATGAAACTTCAGCATCTCATTTACCCTCCAATAAATGTCTGTTTTAAATGCTGGGTTTTTATCTTAGCTTGAAATTGCTTATTTTCTCATGATGACGTGTGTGTGTAGTGTGGTGACTTCTGCCTGCTTTTATTTCTTTCAGATCTCTGCTTGTCAAATGTAATATGAGTCGTAACTACTCTGCAGGTCTCCCTGCTATGAATATTGTTTTATATACAATCCCATTCCTTACTGGCTGTACCATAACTGGTTTGTTTACAGGTGCTATTTCCTGTTTCCCATGGGAAGAAAATCAAAGATCATACAAACCTTTTTAACATTGATAGGGCTTATTAGACTTAAATCTGTACCCACAACTTGCTCTTAACAATATTGATTGTTGCTGTCCACAGAGAATTAATGAAGAGAGCCTTTATTACTAATCACATTTTGAGTATTAAGACACTATTTCTTCTGCCTCTTGAGGTTAGTAAAAAAAAGATGATGGTGGCTGGTAAAGGGGGTGGTTCTCTTTATGAGTTCCTTGGCAAATTTGCAGTTCTGCTGCTTCTAGGCAAGTTTCAGCAGGAAAACATCTTGTGAAAAGAATGAAGATGTAATTGGAATCCTTACAGACCCCAGTTAGAGATGGTAAAGCAGAAAAGGAGGTGGTGTACAGCTGTAAGGAGGTGGCATGCAAGTTCCCAGCAGTAGTTTTCCTTGCAAGGGTAGAATTTTTTTAAACTAAGATACTTTAGAATCACAGAATAGTTTGGGTTGGGTTGGAAAGGACCTTATGATTATCCACTTCCAACCCCTTGCCATGCGCAGGGATGCCTCACCCTAGACCATGTCACCCAAGGTTCTGTCCAACCTGGCCTTGAACATCGCCAGGGATGGAGCATTCACAACTTCCCTGGGCAGCCCATTCCACTGCCTCACCACCCTCACAGTGAAGAACTTCTTCCTTATATCTAACCTGAACTAGCCCTGTTTAAGCTTAAACCCATTTCCTCTTGTCCTGTTGCTGCAGTCCCTGATGAGGAGTCCCTCTCCAGCATCCTTGTAGGCTCCCTTCAGCTACAGGAAGGCTGCTATGAGGTCTTCATGCAGCCTTCTCTTCTCCAAGCTGAACAGCCCCAACTTTCTCAGCCTGTCTTCATATGGGAGGGGCTCCACCTCCCTTACCATCCTTCTCTGGACTTGCTCCAACATCTCCATGTCCTTTTTACATTGAGGACACCAGAACTGCACACAATACTCCAAGTGGGGTCTCAGAAGAGCAGAGTAAAGAGACAGGATCGCCTCCTTTGACCTGCTGGTCATGCTCCTTTTAATGCAGCCCAGGATGTGGTTGGCTTTCTGGGCTGTGAGTGCATACTGAAGCTGGCTTATGGTCAGCTTCTTATTGACCAACACCCCCAAGTCGTCTGCAGGGTTGCTCTGAATCACTTCTCTGCCCTACCTATAGCTGTTCCTGGATTGCCCTGACCCAGGCATAGGACCTGCTGTTAATGATCTTGCAATGGAATGAGTTAAAAATTTATGTGAATTTATGAAGGAAGAAGAATTGACACATCATGGAAGAGGGAAATAAAGATATGCAGGTAGATCAGTACCCAGCAGTAGTTAATGATTTCAAGGGTTCATTATTTTTCTTAGCTCTCTTGGAGAGTTCTGGCAGGAGAATAGACTGCATATCAGTGTGAAGGAATTGGGAGATAGCAGCAACTGTTTCAGGAGGCCAGATGTTTCCAGCCTGTTTTTCCTGTGATTCTGCCAGTGGTAGTAGCCACTGCTAATGCTGGCTGTGGGTAATTATGCTATCATAAGCCACAGCAGCTTTCAGGACTGGGCCAGGTAGCACGCATGGTCATGACAAAGCATACCTTCACCTCGCAACCTACACGTCTGCCATTGTAGGTGAAAATAGTTTTAAAGAAGCAAAATGAAATCACAACCAGAGACATAAATTTTAGCAGATGAAAATTCATGCAGTACTTCACTTTCAGAATGTTCTATAATTGCATATTGCAGACTAAGGCTATACAAATACACCTGTTCTTCTATTGGTCTACAATATCTTGTACCCTGTTTTCTGCAATGAGCTATAGGGTTTATATAATCAAAACAGCAGAAATAAATCTCATGAACTGAAATAGGCATAAAACATACAAAACAAACATCTTTCAAACAAGTTATTTTTAAAGAAATCACAGAAGAATTATGTTTGTAGAAAGGCAAGTTCTGGGAGAAAAAGATGTCAAAGCTTCTTTTCTTAGCCATGACCATGGTATTGTATATCTACCTGGACTCTGAGTTTTAAAGAATCGGGAATAGTCTTGATCGCAGTCTTTCAACTTGTGCCTGAAGAATTTCACACTCTTCTTTCTCTTCCTTAATCTGCTCCCGTAGGTGTTTCTGCTTCAAAATCTCTCGGTAGCGCTGCCTTGCAACCTTATCAGCAATATGTTGTGTGTCTGCATAAAACAAAATAATAAGCGTCAGCCTGTACTTGTAGGGGATGCACAGTCTATATGTCTATTAAACACGTCCTGGGGTTCTTCCAAGTTCTGTGTAAAATAGGTAAGCACTTTAAAGAAGGCTCACAGTTGGGCTGAAGAGCCTATATAGTACTAAATAAAGCAAAAAGAAATTCCAAAAAGCACTGGGAATGCTTCCTTTAGTTTCTCGCAAGTATTTTGAATATCTGTTTTCCATTAGTGGGAAGAACTCTACAGTTTTCCTAATACCCTTCTCAGCTTCACATTACTACCTCTGATCTCTTCAATGGTGAAAGAAAGTGGGTTGAACAGTTCTGAGAAAGAATGAAAACCCTTTGCCTGATGAGGATATTAATGACTGTAATATTCTGACTTGAATAGTTTCAGCAATTTGGGTAGTCAGCTTTGGGTACAAGAACAACAGTCTCTAGGTATGTTCTTAAATAAACAATGTTAAACTGTTGTGGGAGAAAGGGCACTGCTAGTTTTGCACACAGTAATCAATCAATAGGTGCTCCTTGCCCCTTATCTGATGCTGATGGAGAACAGGACCGTGTAGCCTTGGAGGTATTTTCTGAATGTTCTTTGTGACTTAAGTGTGTTACTGTGACTCACCAGCTGCCTCAAAGATATGCCTCCTTTCTGAAGTAGAGACCAGCATTTCTTTGAGCTCCAGGCTGAGCTCATAGTTTTCTTGCTCTTTTAAACTGATGCGTTTCTCCAATTCTTTAACTTTTTTTTGGCGGTTCTTCACATTCTTCTTATGCAGCTGTCCATTTCCAAATGAATAAAGCAAATATAGGAGATTATACAAAAGCTGTTCTGACAAAGTTATGATAAAAACCTATAATCATAAGCACTGCATGGTAGCTCAATGAACTTGTGTATTTTGGTTTGACTAACAGCACATTCTAGTTTTACTTTGTATAGTGTCTTTCACGCACACTGTATTACAGTATGCTTTATGGTATTCTAATTTAAGTGGCTGACAAGGACCAAAGAAGTATGGGCCAGGGAGAGAGATCTAGTAACGATAAAACTTGAAAGGCAAAGAGAGTGAAGGAAGCAAATGGAATCAGTGAGTTGAGAAACTCTCAGCTTCTAGGAGCTGCTAAAGAAAGGGTGGTCATGCTGAAGTTGTTGGATGAGCTGTAGAGGGACAAAAGAAATGCTAAAGCTTGAAGAGGAAGAGGAGGCTCATGCCAGCTAAAGCAACCTAGAAAAAAATCCAGTGGAATCACTTGAAAACAAGGATAATGATAATTTGAATGCTGAAATAGATGAGGGAACCAGCAAATCAGAATGTTGTGTCTCATTTTGAATATAGGGGGGCAGTGATACTAGGAACAGGCTGGCACTCCTGAAGAGAAACGTTAAGCAGCGAAGACTGGAAGAATGCTTCATTAGAAATGGGAGAGTGTCTTTTATAGGTAATGCTGTGTAAGAAGTGATAAGCAGATCTGCATTCAGATGTTCAGGAAGGAAAGCATTTAGTTCTAGTAACAGGGTAAGTAGATTTCTCTCCATAGAGTTGATTTATGTAGCAATTCATGTACGATGACTGCTTCCAAAGACTTTAAACTGCTGCTGTAGACAGCTCAGTGCAATCTAAAGAAACTATTTAAAGGCAGATAAATACATGGAAGTAGGTAGGTAGGTAGGTAGGTAGGTAGGTAGGTAGGTAGGTAGGTAGATAGATAGATAGATAGATAGATAGATAGATAGATAGATAGATAGATAGATAGATAGATCATCCATCTGTGTGTACTGTTATGGCTATGCTGCAACAGTCCTTGACGTAGTATGCCTATATCAGTTGCACTTAAGCCTTACAAATACCTCTTGCTAATGAAGGAGAGGAGTTGCACTTAAACTGAGATGTTTCTCAAATGTGGTGGTTCACTTAGGATTTACCTCATCCATCATGCCAAGAGTCTGCTCCATCACTGAAATGTGGTGGGCAACGTTGCTGTTGTAGTTCGGCACAGTTAGGAGCTGATGAATTAAAACCAGAAAGAAACCATCTTATTAAGCCAGTTTGTTTGTTCTCAACAATTTCCCACTTCTGTAAAGACAATTATTATGTGAAACTCAAACCCCCTAAAATTCTACACAGTGGAAAGGCTTACTAGTGATCATAAACAGACATTGTAAAGATACTCCTGGACGTTGCATGAATACTAAACTGTACACCTGTTAAAAAGAATGTTAACTATTATGCGTTAATGGAAACAAAGACCAAGAAAATTTGTTGTGAGGTTATCAAAAAGACCCCAAGCTATACTTTTGCTTATTAGGTAGTCTAAGCTAACACAGCTGGAAGGCAAAGTGCTCTACAGTCTGTTTTTAGGCCAGAGAAGAAAGTGATTATTTTCTGTCAAGTGGCTTCCTAGTAATTCTTACTTCTTTTACTGTTCTTGTATCTGCATAGTAATTCAGGTTTCAGACAATTTATTGAAGATTTTTCTTGGGGACAGTGCTACTGTAACACTTCTTTATCAAATGGCAAATGGTAGAACAGGCTGTATGACCTATAATGGGCAGTAGACAAGTTTCTGTAGATTTAG